GACAAAAATTTGACCATCACCGATTTTGGAAATGACTCTCCCATGCAACGACCGCTTGGAGTATTCAATGATCATCCGTAAAAGCAGACTTTAACTGGGGAATCTTACCAGTCCTCAAGGTGGTATGTCAAATTGAGCAGCAAACAACGGTTTGGGGCAGGAGTAGGCTAAAATTAGCGCTAGGTTATCAAGGAAGTTTTCCTACATTAGGTTCACGTCAAATATTTCAGCTGACTTCCGATGGAGGAGAATGTGGATTAAAATCGACATAAACGAAGTTTTTATTCTGCTGGACGATTTGATAGGCACCATGGTGTCCCTCCTGCAAGGAGTTCTTCCTCATTTGGCTAGATGTCCAAGGCACCTTTTTTCTCCAGCCTTTTGGACTGTTACAGACCTTCAGGTTTCTAATTCCTTTGAAGCTTACCTTATTTTCTTATACAATCTTCGGAACTTTAATGTTAACAACTGCTAGAACATCCAAAACTCGTATTTTGGTCATGGCGAATCTAAGTTAACTCACGACCGGACTGTTTGCGCAAATAGAGTCGTAGAATACTTTCTTGGTCAGGTCTACATTTACGTCTCTCCAGACGACTAGCACTTTGAACTACTTCAGTGCTTTTTGACTTTGCAGCAATCTCCTTAAAGGAGGGCGACAAAAAGTGTCAGTTCGGTCTGCTGACAGGTAAAACAATAGTTACGTGGGAGCGTGCGCCCGAGTGTAGACTCCTCTTCATCGGCAAGGCAATGCATGGTGACGGAGGTGGCATTGGTGGCGGCATGAGCATCATCAATCCCAACTGGGACTTTGCTCAAATGGGTATTGGTGGTTTGGACAAGGAGTTCTCCGAGATCTTCCGTCGCACTTTCGCCTCCCGCATGTTCCCACCTGAGGTTTCACAACAGCTCGGTTAGTTGCTGATCCTCTAGTGACTCTCAGCTAAGCCTGCTCCTACTCAAACAACATTTGTTTAATTGAGTCTTGGATGAGATGTAGTTAAAGAGTTGGTTGGTGTATGTGCGAAGAAGGTTGTGGAGATTGCAAGGCTTTGTGACCTCCGATTTGGCTACCTCTTGGTTGATTTCTCACGTAGATTTGTTCCTTAAGGCATGAAGCATGTGCGAGGTATTCTACTCTACGGCCCACCGGGCACGGGCAAGACGCTGATGGCTCGACAGATTGGGAAGATGCTAAACGCACGGGAGCCCAAAATCGTGAATGGACCGTCTATCTTGGACAAGTATGTTGGAGAGTCGGAAGCCAATATTCGAAAACTATTTGCAGATGCCGAAGAGGAGGAGGAACGGTTGGGACCTCACTCTGCTCTACACATCATCATTTTTGATGAGATCGATGCCATCTGCAAGACCAGAGGTTCAGTTGTAAGTAATAGCTGAGTCGTAGAACCAAACTTAAACTCCCTCAGCCACATAGACCCTCTAGGACATTTTTTTTCTTTCCCTGCATAATTATCGTTCTTGACTGACTGTGCACCTCGTCCTTTTGAATACGGGTTGATGTGTTGGAATTGGGAGCTCAATCACAGTACTTGTGGATGGTCAAATTTGGACTAGATTTGTAGCCCTCATGGTAAGTTTAATTATTTATTCTGCTCAGGGCTCGGGCGCAGGCGTTCATGATACGATAGTGAATCAACTACTCACCAAGCTGGACGGTGTTGATCAACTGAACAACATCCTTGTCATTGGCATGACAAACCGACGCGATATGATCGATGAGGCTCTTCTTCGACCCGGTCGTCTTGAGGCATGTAACTGTTGCTAAGACGTTCTTTTAAACAAGTGGGGCTTGTGTTACTGACCAAAGCATTTGTTGAGTACAGATGCAGTTGGAGATCTCACTACCGGATGAGGACGGTCGCCTACAGATTCTCAAGATTCATACAGCAAAAATGGCCGCCTCAAAGAAGCTCAGTACTGATGTGGACCTGAAGGAGTTAGCAGCCCGTACAAAGAACTTTAGCGGTGCGGAAATCGAAGGTCTCTGTCGAGCTGCTGCCTTCACTGCTATGTACCAATTTGTGAAGGCAAGTGGAGTGATGCACTTGTCAACCCCTTCAAACTCATTTCATACATGTCATTTGGTGCATGAAGATAGCGTTGCTGTTAGCACAACTGTCCTTTGACTGATTCAGTATAGCCTATTGCACTTATTTCTCAAGCAATCTCAGTCGTTCTTACATTCTTCAACCAAAGTTTTTGGGCTAATTTACTACTTGTCTCTATTATGAAGACTAATTTCACCATCCATTCGGATATTCGTATAAAAATTGCAATGCTTTTGGGCGTTACCACTTCCTGTTTCATCCTCTCTATCTCTCCCTCTCTCCTCCTCTGCTCGTTCGTTCTTCCCTTTATGATCGTCCCATTCCCAACTGTTATTAGTCTTCCTTATTGTTGCTATAGGTTATGACCAAAACCTCTAAGTGAGATTGCGTATCAGTTCGGTGTACACTGACAAACACTATTTGGCATGGTTTCGAAGCTATCACCGATCCATTTTATTAACTTATATTTACCATTTTCTTGATCAACTGATCCACTCTAACTGGGAGCCATAATTGGTTAAGCGTGATTGTCTGGGTTGATTGAATGGCTACCTTTGGCGACTAAATCTTGTTTTCCAGCCCTCGGGTAAGGAGAAGATCGATCCGGACGCCTTTGAAAAGCTTCTTGTCAAACGCTCCGATTTTATGTATGCCCTTGAGAATGACATCAAACCGGTGAGCCCTTTGGAGTTTCTGTCGATGTTGCCCACATGTATGTATCCCCTGACACTCATTTTTTTATCAACTGCCTTCAGATGTTTGGCACAGCCGAAGAGGAGTTGGCATACTACGCACCGCGCGGTCTCATGAATTGGGGTGAGCCAGTGACACGCGCTCTTGCCATGGGTGAGTTGGCGGTGCGTGCGGCGGGTGGCGGAGGAGCTGGAGGCGGTGGGAGTTCGGCGCCCGAAACTCATCGGCCGGTCACGTTGCTATTGGAGGGCGCACCAAAGGCGGGTAAAACTGCTCTCGCCGTGGAGATCGCGCGTCGTTCTGGTTTTCCCTTCGTTAAAATAATCACTTCTCACAAAATGATCGGCTACACCGAGACTGCCAAGTGCATGGCCATCAAAAAGGTGGGTGGTTATGTCCTCATTAGGTTAATCGGCCTCGTTTCTTAACGTCTCCTCAAACCCTTGTGAGGAGTGCTTCTATTGAAACCCTCTGTCATCACCATCTCATTAAGGCCTTTAATTGTGTCTTAGTGATGTATTTCTCCCCATCCTGCGATGCTTGCTATGGTTTGTCATCTTTGGTCCATTATAAGCCTTTCAAAAAGTTTACTTTTAGCGTTATGTTTAAAGTATGTAAAAGGTTAAATTTTGGAGAATTTTTTCAAAGGTTTCTAGCCCTACAATTTGGATTATTTATGGCGACTGGGGGTGCTCAGGGCAACTACGACGACTCATAATTTTTGAACCTACAAGCAACTTGCAGTAGCAATAAGTTATTGAAGCATCTGTGGTAAATATTGTAATACGACCTTTCTAAGGTAAGTGAAAACCGTAGTCAATAGCATACCGAATCTTGTCGCCGGTGACACCTCTCAGTTCCTCTTCATTGCAATTCCTTTTTCTCCCGGTGAAGGATCTTCATCATTCTATTCACCTTGAAAGTGAGTGCGTCTTATCCACACCCTTACTGGGCAGCTTTCCTTAAAATCTTCGTGGTCATGTTCGCAAATAATGCAGCGCCAACTGCACCTTATTTGGGGTTGGAGTGCACAGCAGTGCGCCTTTCTTCGGGGCGGAAAGCAGAGGTAGCGCTCGGGTGGAATGTGCTGAGGAACTCGGAAGTTGACCGCATGGACTGGAGGCCAGGCTTCTTTGTGCTGGGGTACAGTGGGGCTCTAAATGTTCCATCGGTCAGCGCATCCTCATATCACTGCTAGGGATTTTGATCGAAATGCTACTGGTCCCTTTTGTTTGCATGGTTTGAAAAATCTCATGCACACATGCTATAGGCAACTCTGTACCTAAGTTTCATCGCTTCTTCCGCCACGCTTGCTTTCATCATTCATCTGTAGGTATCATAATAGTTGCTCTTTAAAGCCGAGTGTTCTCCCACATCCGCTACCGCAGTTATTTGTGACTTCCTTGACGACAAAGTGAGGCGTAATACTCGGGTAGAATGCGTAGTGCTGATCTCGTGATGGAAATGGGACTGCTTGGTGAAGTTTCCTGGCGGTTTGTTAAACAACCAATTAAATTTTGATTCTACTGATTCAATCTTGTCATTACACCTTCCTGACCTGCTAGATGATAGGCATTGTAGTTTTGGCAACGTA